TTCATCTTTCAGCACCCCTTATTGATTGAATTGCAAATCAATACCCCTAATTAGACAAATTGCAAAAATGGAATCTAGCCAAGAATCAAGATTGCCCCGTACTTTTACCTAATTGTCAATATTTTTCTGGCCCTATTTTGTGTAATTGAAATGACTATTACAAGATCCAATGCAATAATATGTAATGATACCGTGATTAAGGAGCGGTTCTTGGGCTGATCCACTTTCCTAGGAGGCTGTACTGGGTAGTCGGCACTGCTTTCGCGTCTTATCATTTCTGCTACCTGGTCCTTTGACTTTGGCAGCCGGCCTTCTTCACTGTTATATTTATTCTGCTGTCTTAGTCTGTATTTATTTATTTACTGCATTTCTTTTCTGGTGAGTTGGAGACTTATTCCTTCCACCAAGACTCTTTTATTTATGCGAATAAAACTGCTTTTTCTTTAAAAAAAAATCCACAATTCAAAGAAATGACATAAGAGACTTAAAAAATGATTATTTCTACTCACTACACATTATGCCTTAGAGTATTCATATAGTTTGGTAACCAAGTATACATTCAAAAAATAAAATTAAAGTAGGGTTATTTCGTTGTGAGGGTGAGACGTGGAAGGTGAGATGGAGGTGACATGCCATTAAGGTGGATTTATTGTTTACAAGAGCGTTTCACATTCGGCCTTGAAAATCAGACGCCACCCAAAAAAGCCATTTCATATGCTTTAACCCGCGCCTGTTCCCCTATGCGACCGGAGAAGTTCAAGAAACCGGCCCGTCAAGCATTGGATCCGGTGAGCAGCTTCCGAAACCCATCGGTTGACCCTCAGAATTAGCCAACCTATTGTGCACCAGTACGAAGAAGAAAAACTCAAGATTCAATTTTGGACGCATTTTGACAAGTTTGCGCCCGTTCACCAGTCATGGTGCATCTATCGAGCAACTCCGCCTAACCCATCAGGTATTATCTTCTTCTTTATGACCTTTTCTTAAAACTATTGTATTTAAATTGTGAAGAGCAGGCAGCACCAAAAACAACCGCTTCTTATGCCTTTGTTTTTCACTCTTCAGAAATATAAATACAATCTGATTAGTTTCCTATTTCAAGAATTTTGAGGAAAAAATATCATCTGATCATTCTCAACTAAGCTAAAGCCCTACTGCACCTTAGCCTTTTAATCAATCATTGCGGGATTCATATCTGCACTCTTTCTCTGTGTTGCTTTACAATTCTTTCGTCTTTCATATCTGCATCTATTATTCCGCGTCTAGCTTTTAGTTAAACAAAGAGGGCTGATATTTTGATTGCTTATTCTTTCAAAGGTTATTAGGATTGCTGGTTAGATTGTGAGATCATATTTCATCTTTCAGCACCCCTTATTAATTGAATTGCAAATCCATACCCCTAATTAGACAAATTGCAAAAATGGAATCTAGCCAAGAATCAAGATTGCCCCGTACTTTTACCTAATTGTCAATATTTTTCTGGCCCTATTTTGTGTAATTGAAGCTGAATAGACGAAGATTTCTCCTACTACTTTTTTTTTACAGTCCTGCAACTACTACTACCCCTTTTAATCATTTAATGTGTGAATGTTATAAGTGAATTTTATTTAGGGGGAGATTAAGATAATAATATTAAAGAGAAATGAAAATCAGAGTAAGAATTGACCTCATGGAATCTTACCCACAGTATACAGGTCTAATTTTGTATAGTATACCACATAACCTATTAGCATTTTTACAAGTGTTAATTTATTTATATGTCTTCCTATTAATAGTAACCATACTTTTAACTTTGATTTTTGATTCCTCATGTTTATAGGTTTTGGAAGTGAGAAATGGATTCTACGAGAACTCATGCTGCAGCTTTGGATTTTGCTTCTATATGCCCTCAATTCTAATTCCATAGTTTGAATTCCGTGTGCCAAACGGGACCAAGGAAAACAACTTTAAGGAACGAAGGAAGTATTTTTTTTAAATGCAAAGAAAAGGAAAAATAAAAGGCATTGTACGTCCGTTATTTTCTGAAGAGTATTTGAGAGATTTTTAGACGGTAGAGATCGACCGTAAAGTAGTACTCCCTCCATTCCTAATTATCTGTCTATTATGGAAATTTTATTTGTCCACAAATAACTGTTCATTACAAGATCCAATGCAATAATGTGTAATGAAATGACTATTTACCCCTTTGTATTTTAGGAGTACAACTCAAGTTTTAAGTACGGAGTAAATGTAATTTCCTTGGGAGCATGAACCAAAAACTAAAGGTAATTTCCTTGAGAATCTAAACCACCATGGGAGAAGGAGAA